TGTGTAGTCATTTCAATCGCATGTTTGTGGATTCCAAATGATCCACCTGAATTCCCCGCGGAAAGGTACAGACTAACCGCTTCACTACTCGCTTATTTGCTTACAATGTCACCAGGCTGTTGGCTTGCAACCATCTCTCCGCACGACTAAACTTTCTGCCAACCTTTATATCAGATAATGTATATGATTGACTATTTTATGAAAACGTGAGACCTAAGCGATTTCTGCCTTGTACTTGCAATTTACCGATGAGTATCCTGCTTCACCTGTTCGTTAAAGACCTGCTTAAACTCTGCCATACCAGTGAACCGCATTGCTCACGATTCACAAAGCTTGACCATTGTGGGACATAAAATTGGTTACTGCACAGTCTTCAGGCAATGTTCACTACAACCAACTGCTCACTAGAGCTGAACTCTGAAAGGGCTACGTGACTCCGACGACGCGGACCTGCGTGGTTTCTAACTCCTAGAGGTGTCTCGGATACCCCGTCCGCACCACGAGGACGTCGTCCAATTCCGAAGAAAGAAGAAGTGTCAGAGTATTTCCCATAAACAAAGTCACCAAGATGTGAGCCGAAGTTCTATACCGTTTTGCCCAATCAAGCTACACTGTAGGCTTTGGTGAGATGATTGCCGAACCTGACAAAGTTTTTATCGAGACCACCCAGCAATTCTCGTCTATATGCCAATGACATGCGGGGGTGTACTACGATTGCTGTGATGTGCTCTGATCCTGGAGGCTTCAGACGCCCGTTTGAAGTGCTCCCCAGACAGCTCAATGAGCTCCGGCAGAGTCCGAGGTTCCTGTTGTCCACAATCTGTGCTACACAAATTTCCGCCACGAAAATCGAAGAGCCAATTCCAAAAACCTCAATTCAGAGTGTTCACACTTTTCTTTGTTAGTGGGAATGATAGCTCCCTAAGATCATATAAATTTCAATTGAAACATCAGGCCACTTACTCTCGTAAAGTCTACAGTAAGATATTTGGCTTGGACCCGATAAGTTCTTTCCAGGTCCGAAGCGACCGACTTCAGTTTCTCCTCCGTACGTCCCAGGATGAATATATTCAGTCCATCGCTGGCTAGTTCCTGGGCGAACGCTTTGCCGATCCCGTCCGCACCACCCGTAATGATTGCCCATTCCCCGAATTTCGGTAACAGATTCCGTTTTGAGAAAATGCGTTTGCCGATGGTAAAATAGAACAGTACTCGAAGAAATGGGTAGAAGACTTTGTAGATAATCCCAGTGGTGGCAACAACGCCGGCTACCTCATAAAATGTCATCATATTTTGAGGCTTTTC